AGCTTGCTTTTTTTTATTCAGCTGCCTTATACATGTTGCTCTTAGCCATATGTGCTACTTGTGAATATCTAATGTTTTTTTAATCTATTGTAATAAAAATTATGTTATACTTTTATATTTGTGAATGTTGCCTTCCCACTACATACTTGGGGAAAAATCTGTATAGAAACTGCATACCTCAAAGCAAAATGGTTTTAGATTAAGTCGGTAAGGTTAGAATCTTGTTCAGGTTTTTCATGTGGTCTGTGACCACACTTGTGAAATTTACCTATCATCTCCAGTGGAGATGGGACACAGGCAATAATAAATATATTTCTTTAAGATGACCGAGGGAAGGATTAGAACCTCATTTGTCTTGACCCTGTGAGATTTCACTCAACTTCCAGTCCCAGAGACAACACTTTTACCGAGACAGAGGTAGGGGGAAAGCTCCTAAACAGAAATATACATACTGCAATAAAAATATGGTACAGATTCTAACATTTTCCCAAGCTATCCAAACTAAAATCACCATGCTGGAGCTATCTTTGATGCAACAGTCCTGTCAACAAATGTATTGGGCAGATAATGCTGAAAACACCGCTACTGCAATGATGTCAAAAGGTAATCTACTGCAACCAGACTGATCAGGATTGTCACAGAAATTGCGTGCAACCTTTTGTCATAAGATGCTGTGCAAACTCCTCTTATGCGCTAGTGCAGTGATGGCAAACCCGTGGCACGCGTGCCACAGCCGGCACGCCGAGCCTTATCTGTGGGCACGCCAGGAGAATACCGTATTTTTCGCTCCATAAGACGCACTTTTTTTCCCCAAAAAAGGGGGGAAAATGTCAGTGCGTCTTATGGAGCGAATATAGAGCGGCCGGTCCGGTATTTCCACCGCCGCCGTGTCAGAATACCGGGCCGGCCGCTCAGCTTTGCAGTGGGACCGTACCTGTCCCTCTATCCAGCGGCGCGCTGTCTTCCCGGCTTCTGTAGTGTGCGTGACAGCCAGGTCCCAAGTGCGCATGCGCAAGAAGCAGTGCTCTTTGTGAATGGTAAGGCGGTACCTGGGACACATGACAGATCCCAGAAGCCGCCGGACCAATCACAAAGCGCAGCGCTTCTCGCGCATGCGCACTGGGCACACTACAGAAGCCGGGAAGACAGCGCGCGGCTGGATAGAGGAACAGGTAACATAAAAAAAAAAACTCTGCGGAAGTAAGAGCGGGTACCTGTCAAATTCAGGTACCCGCTCCCCCTCCCTCCCCAAAGGTCAGCAGTCATCTGTACTGTCTGCAGTCTCTGGTCATCCCTGTACTGTGTCCGCAGTCTCTGGTCATCCCTGTACTGTGTCCGCAGTCTCTGGTCATCCCTGTACTGTGTCCGCAGTCTCTGGTCATCCCTGTACTGTGTCCGCAGTCTCTGGTCATCCCTGTACTGTGTCCGCAGTCTCTGTCATCCCTGTACTGTGTCCGCAGTCTCTGGTCATCCCTGTACTGTGTCCGCAGTCTCTGGTCATCCCTGTACTGTGTCCGCAGTCTCTGGTCATCCCTGTACTGTGTCCGCAGTCTCTGGTCATCCCTGTACTGTGTCCGCAGTCTCTGGTCATCCCTGTACTGTGTCCGCAGTCTCTGGTCATCCCTGTACGGTGTCCGCAGTCTCTGGTCATCCCTGTACTGTGTCCGCAGTCTCTGGTCATCCCTGTACTGTGTCCGCAGTCTCTGGTCATCCCTGTACTGTGTCCGCAGTCTCTGGTCATCCCTGTACTGTGTCCGCAGTCTCTGGTCATCCCTGTACTGTGTCCGCAGTCTCTGGTCATCCCTGTACTGTGTCCGCAGTCTCTGGTCATCCCTGTACTGTGTCCGCAGTCTCTGGTCATCCCTGTACTGTGTCCGCAGTCTCTGGTCATCCCTGTACTGTGTCCGCAGTCTCTGGTCATCCCTGTACTGTGTCCGCAGTCTCTGGTCATCCCTGTACTGTGTCCGCAGTCTCTGGTCATCCCTGTACTGTGTCCGCAGTCTCTGGTCATCCCTGTACTGTGTCCGCAGTCTCTGGTCATCCCTGTACTGTGTCCGCAGTCTCTGGTCATCCCTGTACTGTGTCCGCAGTCTCTGGTCATCCCTGTACTGTGTCCGCAGTCTCTGGTCATCCCTGTACTGTGTCCGCAGTCTCTGGTCATCCCTGTACTGTGTCCGCAGTCTCTGGTCATCCCTGTACTGTGTCCGCAGTCTCTGGTCATCCCTGTACTGTGTCCGCAGTCTCTGGTCATCCCTGTACTGTGTCCGCAGTCTCTGGTCATCCCTGTACTGTGTCCGCAGTCTCTGGTCATCCCTGTACTGTGTCCGCAGTCTCTGGTCATCCCTGTGCTGTCCGCAGTCTCTGGTCATCCCTGTACTGTGTCCGCAGTCTCTGGTCATCCCTGTACTGTGTCCGCAGTCTCTGGTCATCCCTGTACTGTGTCCGCAGTCTCTGGTCATCCCTGTACTGTGTCCGCAGTCTCTGGTCATCCCTGTACTGTGTCCGCAGTCTCTGGTCATCCCTGTACTGTGTCCGCAGTCTCTGGTCATCCCTGTACTGTGTCCGCAGTCTCTGGTCATCCCTGTACTGTGTCCGCAGTCTCTGGTCATCCCTGTACTGTGTCCGCAGTCTCTGGTCATCCCTGTACTGTGTCCGCAGTCTCTGGTCATCCCTGTACTGTGTCCGCAGTCTCTGGTCATCCCTGTACTGTGTCCGCAGTCTCTGGTCATCCCTGTACTGTGTCCGCAGTCTCTGGTCATCCCTGTACTGTGTCCGCAGTCTCTGGTCATCCCTGTACTGTGTCCGCAGTCTTTGGTCATCCCTGTACTGTTAATTAGTTTGCACTACTGTACGAGTTGTTTTTTTTTCTAAACCAAAAGCTCGATATTCAGGTTTCATTGCAGTGTTGGCACTTTGAAAGAAATAAGTTGGTTTTGGGTTGCAGTTTGGGCACTCGGGCTCAAAAAGGTTCGCCATCACTGCGCTAGTGTGTCTCAGCAAAAGGGGCAGAGGGCAACGAGAAAAGTAGTGCTTGGAAACCGGAAACATGTTGGCGGCATGCTTTTTCAGGCTCATATTTGGGGCCATTTCAAGAAGAGAATATCAGCCTGGTTGAAAATTTGAGCCACTGAGTGGATATGCTGTTGCCTCAAAGTCTATTTAAATACAATATTTTTGTGTTTGGACTGGAGTTGAACTTAAATGCCTTATATTAAATTAATCTACACACTGGTTTTTAAAAAGTTTATTAGATACTAGATACAAACTTGAAATAAACAAATCAAAATTTTCTATATTTTATAAGTGAATAGGGGCTGTTTGGAAGAACATAAAATGAATATTCAGCCTGTGTCCATTACTATAGACTTAAGATAAGATACTCACAAGGAATGTACACACTAAAATACCTGTAATAAAATGACAAACCAGGAGTAGAGATGAGCTTAAGATTCGGTCCAAAACACACAAACTGAACCCAAACATCATTTATAATATCAGTAGCAACACTGCTATTATACATATCAGCTTCCAGCAGTCAATGGTTATTAACGGCGCCAAAGGGTGCAGGCACCACTGACATTAACCAGTAATGTCACATGCCCTATTCACTTATGGGCAAAGCGGCAGGGTGGTGACATGGCCATGTTTGGTCAGGGATTTCAGCACATCCATGCCCCCCATGTAAGTAAACCTAATGACAGCTCTGGAGAAGGAAACCCATTTCATTTTAATACATATTTCAGTGCTATGAGTTAACGTACTCAGACACAAAAGCCTGTATTTCTCCTGTAAATAACTATATAAACGGAGGCTTAAAAGTGATGGGTATCGCTTAAAATACACAAGGTTTGCCCAATAACCAAAAAAGCCTGTAGAAAAACTAATGTGAACAAGGAATTCACAAGAAAAAGAAAGGGAACAATGTGATACACAAATTATCAAAATATGCTTTTATTAGTAAAATTGCAATATAAGAAAATCGAGTAAAGACTGCTGGCAGCCATCACCTCAATGTAAGATAATACAAAGATCAACCTTAAAACGGCTACACGCACCCAGTCCCGGTGGGGACACGGAGCACTAGGTTATCTCTGGGTGCTCAATCTCCACGTGTACTCTCCAGGAAGCAGGGCCTGTTTACTGGAGGTCGTAACATGGAGGCTGCCTCCGGGACCCCGAGCATGGAACCGAGCAACTAAGGGAAGGTCATACTATCTCCATCTGACGGAGTAGGTGGTGAGTGATACCTTTACCCACACCTGGCAGATAACTGGACATATATACAGGCAGAGCTCTGCCATCGGTAGGTAGTCCTCACGGACTTCCTACTTGTGAAATAAAGTCACTGTACCGTGATGAATAGTGACATCTAGTTGGCAGCAAACTGCAACTTTGCCCACATTCTGCTGTTATTATGTTCATCTTTAAGGAACTGTATGCAATATTCATTGCCCTGTGTGGGCTTATTGGTCACCACCGCACATGATATTTGGAGGCTCTGTCTTCTAGTCTCAGGATTTGACTTACATACTATATCATCTAGATTGCATCACGTGCCTTATTTACCATTAATTTGATACAGGCATTCATATGTGGAATGTATCCAGTTATATGGTCATGTTCATTCTTTATTGTATATCTTCCCTAGTTGGGTTTCTATTTCTATGCCAGTTGAGGTTACACCTTTATTACCTTGATGACTGATCTTCAGCAATATTGCATTTTCTTCATGATATAAATACATGTATCCCCACCATGGTGGTACACTCTGTGTCTTTGCTGTATGAGCAAAAGACCTTTGAGTTGTTGTCTCTGCAGCATAGTACAATTATGGTCTAACCATGTCTCTTTTTTATTTTTTGTTTTAAGGTTGACCTTTGTATTCTTATATTGAGGTGATGGCTACCAGCAGTCTTTACTGCTAGATTTCTCCTGCACAACACTAAAAAAAAAAAAAAAAAAAAAAAAAAAATTATTTCAGACTTCTGTAGAAATCTTACCCTCTAGTGCGTCTCTTAGCTCATCTTTGGTCCAGGCCACTTCGGTCATCAGCACTCTCAGGTAATACATGGCATGCTGATGAGGCTGCTCTGCCCGGAAGTTGTTTAGAGACCGCATGTACTGCAAAACAGAATCCAACCCCATATAATTTTAAAACTTAAATTTCTACACAATCTTTTTCCTATATATTATTCTGAATTAGGGGGACAGGATATGTTAACACTGCACTGTAATTACATTTAATTCTAACAGGTCATTTGAATGGTGTAAACGTTTCAAAGATGACCATACATCCATCAGTGACGATCCTGGCTGTGGTGGTTCCCAGCCCACAAGCAGTCACTCCTGTGAACATTCAGTGCGTGAAACGCCTGATCCTGGATTACGACACATAACTTGTCGCGAAATTGCACAAGAGAAATCTTTCTATGGGAATGGTGAAACACAATGATGACAAAGTGAAGCAGGCGGTCCTAGGATGGTTCAAACGTACTGACAAAATTTTCTATGCCAAAGCTTTCCAGGCATTAGTAAAACACTGGGATGAGTGTATACAGTTGTGACCAAAATTATTCAACCCCCACTGAAATTGAGTGTTTTGGCCAGTTTGACATTGCTTTTGATCATTCAGTCATCTTGCTTACATTTACATTAAAGAGGCACTTGTAGGTCAGACAAATATAACATAACAGTTATAATGAAATAACCACAAATGTCTTTTCTGTGCTCACAGCATTATCAGTTTTATTCAACCCCCAAGTGACATTCAATCTTAGTACTTAGTACAGCATCCTTTTACAGTTATAACAGCTTTTAAACGTGAAGCATAGCTTGACACAAGTGTCTTGCAGCGATCTACGGGTATCTTCGCCCATTCTTCATGGGCAAAGGCCTCCAGTTCAGTCACATTCTTAGGCTTGCGCACTGCAACTGCTTTCTTTAAGTCCCACCAGAGGTTCTCAATCGGATTTAAGTCTGGTGACTGCGATGGCCACTCCAAAATGTTCCAGCCCTTTCCTCTGCAACCATGCTCTAGTGGACTTGGAGGTATGCTTGGGATCATTGTCCTGTTGAAAGGTCCAACGTCTCCCAAGCCTCAGGTGTGTGACGGACTGCATCACGTTTCCATCCAATATCTCCTGGTACTGAAGAGAATTCATGGTACCTTGCACACGCTGAAGCTTCCCTGTACCTGCAGAAGCAAAACAGCCCCAAAGCATGATTGACCCTCCACCATGCTTCACAGTAGGCAAGGTGTTCTTTTCATCATAGGCCTTGTTCTTCCTCCTCCAAACATAGCGTTGATCCATGGGCCCAAACAGTTCTAATTTTGTTTCATCAGTCCACAGAACACTATCCCACAACTTTTGTGGGTTTGTCCACATGGCTTTTGGCATACTGCAGTCGACTCTTCTTATTCTTTGGAGACAGCAAGGGGGTACGCCTGGGAGTTCTGGCACGGAGGCCTTCATTACGCAGTGTGCGTCTTATTGTCTGGGCTGAAACTTCTGTACCCACATCTGACAAATCTTTTCTCAGTTCCTCAGCAGTCACACGGGGACTTCTCTCCACTCTACGCTTCAGGTAGCGCACAGCAGTCGAAGTCAGCATCTTCTTTCTGCCACGACCAGGTAGCGTTTCAACAGTGCCCTTTGCCTTGAATTTGCGAATGATGCTTCCTAAGGTGTCTCTTGGTATGTTTAACATCTTTGCAATCTTCTTATAGCCATTGCCCTTCCTGTGAAGAGAAATCACCTCTTCTCTTGTCTTCCTGGACCATTCTCTTGCCTTCACCATGTTTGTAACCACACCAGTAAATGTCTAGAAGGAGCTGAGTATCACAGTCATTTTAAAGCTGCCTAATTGGTGCTTATTATGCTTGATTGCTGCTCGGTGACATCCACAGGTGTTTTCAATACCTGATGGAAAGCACCTGTATGAACCTCTGTTCTTCAGAGTGGTAGTCTTTAAGGGGTTGAATAATTGTGGCAATGAAGAAACCACATAAGAACCATTTACTACTGTATTACATAAACAATTGATGTCATTTTAGTTGCATTTGGGTAGTTACAACGTCCTTGTAGGATTTGATTCTGAATACAATTCCAAATGTACACTATAGTCCCTAAACCCCTTTACAGCATTGGGGGTTGAATAATTTTGGTCACAACTGTAGCTGTAGCAGGGGAGTATGTCAAGAAATACAGTCAGGTCCATAAATATTGGGACATTGACACAATTCTAACATTTTTGGCTCTATACACCACCACAATGGATTTGAAATCAAACGAACAAGATGTGCTTTAACTGCAGACTGTCAGCTTTAATTTGAGGGTATTTACATCCAAATCATGTGAACGGTGTAGGAATTACAACGCATATGTGCCTCCCACTTCTTAAGGGACCAAAAGTAATGGGACAATTGGCTTCTCAGCTGTTCCATGGCCAGGTGTGTGTTATTCCCTCATTATCCCAATTACAATGAGCAGATAAAAGTTCCAGAATTCATTTCAAGTGTGCTGTTTGCATTTGGAATCTGTTGCTGTCAACTCTCAAGATGTGATCCAAAGAGCTGTCACTATCAGTGAAGCAAGCCATCATTAGGCTGAAAAAACAAAACAAACCCATCAGAGATATAGCAAAAACATTAGGCGTGGCCAAAACAACTGTTTGGAACATCCTTAAAAAGAAGGAACGCACCGGTGAGCTCAGCAACACCAAAAGACCCAGAAGACCACGGAAAACAACTATGGTGGATGACCGAAGAATTCTTTCCCTGGTGAAGAAAAACACCCTTCACAACAGTTGGCCAGATCAAGAACACACTCCAGGAGGTAGGTGTATGTGTGTCAACTCCCTACTCCCTAGCTGCCGTTGTGCAATATGCTGGGTGTCAGGTGCGCTCCCATAACCTTTTTAATGAAGGGTGGGGCTCCCCTCATGTTTATCTGCCCTTGTTTCTATCCATTTAAATGCATGTGCCTCCACTGTGAGGACTCTTTAGACTTGTAGAGTTAGGACCACAGATACTCAGGGTGCCGTGACAGGGCTCTGTGGCTTACGTATGTATTTGCAAATGTGTGCTAACTAAACCCCTGTTTTTAAACGCATGTTTCCAGACAGGTTAATTTGGTTTTTGATAGTTGGCTAACTGGCTGACAGTTTGAACTGGCTTTTCTTATCCCCCTTTGTTGATAAGATATACATATCCTTGTTCCTTGCCAATAAAAGCCGATATTAGATTGGGGTAGGCTGGCAAGTTGAACTGGATAGTTCTACTTTTTTGGAAATTTCTCACGTAGTGACAGCCCCCCATGTTCACTGTTTAAAAAGCCAGTTATAGACCTGGGCAGGTGATCAGTTTTTTCTTTGTATGTGTGTCAAAGTCAACAATCAAGAGAAGACTTCACCAGAGTGAATACAGAGGGTTCACCACAAGATGTAAACCATTGGTGAGCCTCAAAAATAGGAAGGCCAGATTAGAGTTTACCAAACGACATCTAAAAAAGCCTTCACAGTTCTGGAACAACATCCTATGGACAGATGAGACCAAGATCAACTTGTACCAGAGTGATGGGGAAGAGAAGAGTATGGAGAAGGAAAGGAACTGCTCATGATCCTAAGCATACCACCTCATCAGTGAAGCATGGTGGTGGTAGTGTCATGGCATGGGCATGTATGGCTGCCAATGGAACTGGTTCTCTTGTATTTATTGATGATGTGATTGCTGACAAAAGCAGCAGGATGAATTCTGAAGTGTTTCGGGCAATATTATCTGCTCATATTCAGCCAAATGCTTCACAACTCATTGGACGTGGCTTCACACTGCAGATGGACAATGACCCAAAGCATACTGCAAAAGCAACCAAAGAGTTTAAGGGAAAGAAGTGGAATGTCATGCAATGGCCAAGTCAATCACCTGACCTGAATCCGATTGAGCATGCATTTCACTTGCTGAAGACAAAACTGAAGGGAAAATGCCCCAAGAACAAGCAGGAACTGAAGACAGTTGCAATAGAGGCCTGACAGAGCATCACCAGGGATGAAACCCAGCGTCTGGTGATGTCTATGCGTTCCAAACTTCAGGCTGTAATTGACTGCAAAGGATTTGCAACCAAGTATTAAAAAGTGAAAGTTTGATTTATGATGATTATTCTGTCCCATTACTTTTGGTCCCTTAACAAGTGGGAGGCACATATGCAAACTGTTGTAATTCCTACACCGTTCACCTGATTTGGATGTATATACCCTCAAATTAAAGCTGACAGTCTGCAGTTAAAGCACATCTTGTTCGTTTCATTTCGAATCCATTGTGGTGGTGTATAGAGCCAAAAATGTTAGAATTGTGTCGATGTCCCAATATTTATGGACCTGACTGTAAATGCAGTTTCCACTCCTTGAAATTTGTTCATTTACTATATAAACTAAAAAGTTTGATTTGAACGCCCCTCGTATTTCATTGCATGACACATGAGCCAGTGAAAGGAACCTTAAAGCACAGCGGGACCAGGACACACTCAAAAATGTGCTGGATGATTAAGATCTTTCAGCAACATTATCTTCAATACAAAGGAGTTTGTTGGTGTGAGCACCAGGACAGGTAACTCCTTGCTTGAAGAGAAACCTCAGACAGGGACAATGAAAAAAATGTACAATAAAAAGGGAGAAAATCATTCGCCACTATAAACTAAAAGTTGGAAATAACTTACCGCTTCCTTTATAATCTCAAATCGCCTTTCATCTATTTCAAAAGTGGCCATTTTTTCAATGATCTTCTTTAGTAAGATGTGCTGCTTGTCATTATAACCTTTTACAGAGAGCTGGAAAGCAAACCATTTATGTCAGTATATCAACAATAACTTGTCTCTAGTGTCTGATCTGTACATTCTAACATAAGTATTTCACCAGACATAACTATGAGCAGTTGTCAGGCTGAAGAAAGATAACACACACTCAATCTTTTGTGTCATACAGTCTAAACATACAATTCAAGTGCTACGCATAGGAGGCAGAGATTTTTTAAAAATGTAATGGATCCAGGAAAAATTATTTACAGGTTCTCACAGAACCAAACATGACTATGAGCCTTATTTGTCAAGAATGCTGAAAAAGAAAAGTGCCTGTATTGCCCACAGCAAATAATCAGCAATTTATTTTATAACTGCTCACAGAAACAAAAGAAACTCACATTGTGCAATACAGACGTTTCCTTGCAAATTACTCGACAAATTATTACTCAATCAGCCCATAAAATGTCTGCCTCGAATACGTGTGGACAGAAAGTATACTTTTAAAGTGATCCTGTTAACGATTTCTAGCATTAAAAAGTAAAAGCTCTGCCTAGGGTACTTGTTTTCTTTAAATGCACAAAAAGCTATTTTATTCTGCACCCCTCAGATCCTGGCTTTATTTTATTGCTGAGGGTTAGATTTCTTCAATTTCAGGTATAAAACATGCCCCTGGAGTCAAGCCACTACAGCCCACCATTCTCATGTACACTATATTGCCAAAAGTATTGGGACACCTTCCAAATCATTGGATTCAGGTGTTCCAAACACATCCATGGCCACAGATGTATAAAATCAAGCACCTAGGAATGCAGACTACTTCTACAAACATTTGTGAAAGAATGGGTCGCTATCAGGAGCTCAGTGAATTCAAGCGTGGTACCGTAATAAGTTGCCACCTGTGCAATAAGTCCATCTGTGAAATTTCCTTGCTACTAAATATTCCACGGTCAACTGTTAGTGGTGTTATAACAAAGTGGAAGCAACTGGGAACAACAGAAACTCAGCCACAAAGTTACAGACCACATAAAATGACAGAGCGGGGTCAGGGCACGCTGAAGCGCACAGCGCAGCACAGAAGTCGCCAACTGCCTGCAGGGTCAATAGCTAAAGACCTCCAAACTTCATGTGGCCTTCAGATTAACGCAACAACAGTGCGTACAGAGCTTCATGGATTGGGTTTCCATGGCCGACCAGCTGCATCCAAGCCTTACATTACCAAGTGTAATGCAAAGCGTCAGATGCAGTGGTGTAAAGCACGCCGCCACTGGGCTCTAGAACAGTGAAGACATTTTCTCTCGAGTGACGAATCACGCTTCTCTGTCTGGCAATCCGATGGACATATCTGGGTTTGGCGGTTGCCAGGAGAACAGGAGTTGCCCGACTGCATTGTGCCAAGTGTAAAGTTTAGTGGAGGGGGGATTATGGTGTGGGGTTATTTCTCAGGGGTTGGCCTTGGCCCCTTCGTTTCAGTGAAGGGAATTCTTAAGGCGTCAGCATACCAAGACATTTTGAACAATTTCATGCTCCCAACTTCGTGGGAATAGTTTAGGGATGGCCCCTTTCTGTTCCAGCATGACTGCACACCAGTGCACAAAGCAAGGTCCATAAAGACATGGATGAGCAAATTTGGGGTGGAGGAACTTGACTGGCCTGCACAGAATCCTGACCTCAACCTGACAGAACACCTTTGGGATGAATTAGAGCAGAGTCTGCGATCCAGACCTTCTTGTCCGACATCAGTGCCTGACCTCACAAATGCGCTTCTGTAAGAATGGTCAAACATTCCCATAGACACACTCCTAAACCTTGTGAACAGCCTTCCCAGAAGAGTTGAAGCAGTTATAGCTGCTAAGGGTGGGCCAACTCCATATTGAACCCTACGGACTAAGACTGGGATGCCATTAAAGTTCATGTGTGTGAGAATGCAGCGTTTCCAAAACTTTTGGCAATATAGTGTATAATGTGGATTTCATTATAGATGACGGTGACTAACAGAGCTTAAACAGTAGGTTACCTCAACATTTCGCATTCCTGATATGTGCCAGTTACACCATACACTTGTGTTGCTTCCTTTGTACAAAATACCTGGTGTTCCTGCTAGTCCCAGTTTTCCTGTTTCAAATTGACCACGATAGGTATGAAAGCACATCCTTCCCATAGTTGTCAGTTTTCTGGCTATGTTGGGAGAACAGCCTGCCTGTCCTCCAATGGTTACACTTGTGCTGACATCCAGACCCCTGCCTCACAGGTACTCACTGGAAAAATCAGTGTACTGCTAGTTCTCTACCCCAAGCTCTCCAAACTCCTTATGCAGCTGAGAACAGAGAATATGGTGATAAAACAATGTGTGTGTGTGTATATATATATATATATATATATATATATATATATATATATATATATATATATTTATATTAATTAATAAAATATTTATACAGTTCGTTTATTGGGTTTTTTTTATATATCTTTACACAAATATTTTGCCTTGCATTTCTATTTTTAACTAAATGGGCTGTTTTCACAAGGTGAGGGTTTACATAAACTTTAAGCTATAGTGTCTAACAAACTTTAGACTGAACTGCAGGTAAGTTGTCAAATACACATCAAAATACATATATGGGAACCTTTGTACCCTGTTTAAAGGATTTGCAATTTTTCGCAGTCCAGCTAGATTATGCTGGCCAGAACATCAATGCACACTGAAGCAGCAGCAACATCCTGTAGCTTGGTCAAAGCAGGACATTGAAAAAGATGCAACAGATTAATGTTATCCCTCTGCTCTTACCTCCTGCCACCAATTTTATTAACACCCCCGCGTGGCTCCCAAAGCTGACCCTCCCATCATCTAGTCTGGGAGCTTCTGTAAAGGGAATTCATTTTTTTTGTCTTATCACCCTGGAGATAAATGTCAAATCAGGTTCAGAGGAGGATACAGAAGCAACTTCTCTAAATAAGGTAAAAGCAGGCAGAACTTTTATTTTTAGAACACTAAAAACAGTCAAACAGGTTCAAACAAAGTACTATAACTACTACATACATTACACATCATCACGAGTGCATTCTCATCACATACATGCAGCCATTACAGAGGCTTTAGGGCTTGTGTACATGGGCCTTTGAGATCAATTAAGGTTAGTTTAAGAGGTTTACGCAATGCTTTTATGCCTCCACATCCATAAGTAATGGCACAACAAAAAGGTATGGCAAATGCATCTCAAGAGCCAAAGTACACTAATCCTTAGTCTATTAAATTGGGTGGTCATAGTTCATAGGTTTCTAGTCATAAAACACACACAAAGCTAGTTTGAGGAAGAAACCTGCACACCAATTAGGAATATAGCTCTTTATTTAATAAAGCCATGAGTGATTGCAGTAATCCACAGCAGTCATTGTGCCCACTTTACACCGAAAAGCAAGGTAAACCCCATTGGTTTCTAGGACTTACTGCACACCACTATTCTTATTAAACAAGAAGGAATGCAACAATAAAAATAATGGAAAATCCACAGCTTCAAAAACATCTTTTGTTAGTAAAAGGAACTTGCAGTTTTTAGTAGCAGAATGTCCATGCACTAGCAAAATACATTTTTCCTGAATGCCCTTATTCTTGAGCAGGTCATTTACATAGATGTTAACCGATCCTCATTAGTAACCATACATGAGGGCATCAAAACAATCAGACCCTCTAGTGTTCATTCATCCCACACCGCCATCCACTTGGTAGTGACCTTGACAGAAACCCCCCAAAAAAGGAACATGCATTGAGACAGTTAACATTGCTTTAATATACAGAAACTGTAAGAATTTTCCAACATGGTGGATAGACATCCCTACTGTTACTAGGTGAAATATGTGTAATTGCATGTTCTATGATGAAAACAGGAGCTTAAAAGTGAACCTGTGGCCAGGCTATGGACATTAATATTCACAACAAGCAGTAAAACTGTGGAGCACATTGTCCTCAAAAGTGCACAGTAGAAGCACTAAAGCTGTTGTATAAGCCAGCTCAGATAGTCCTGCTCCCACCTCCCAGCCTTCAACCTGCTAATGGAAACACAGACAAGATTGCACAGCTGCTCAGAGAATAACTTGAATGACCTCAGTGCTTCTATTCTGAACTTTAAGAATGGATGCTCCACAGTGCATGCAGCTACAGAGGCCAGTGAGGGCCTGTTTTAAAGCTCGCTTGGCACGTGCTAAGAGAATGGAAATACTGGAACGTCCATAGCTATTCCAGAAGATCATTTAAGGACCCATCATTGTATTGCCTTCCATTTCTGGCCTTTATCTGGTAAAAAGTAGAGCATCTCCAAATGTGTCCCCCATGTTTCTCCCTGGCAGCCCTTCCCCTCCATGCACTGACGTGAAGTCAGTCAAAAGTACATTAAAAAGGCAGCAAGATCATAGTCAGAAAGCATACAGATCATACGGTAAGCATCTAATAGCTAACCGCAGTCTCAGTGAATTAGTAAAGCAAACAGAACAGAATTTAGTGAAGAGTAGAAGCAACACATGGCCAAAGGGGCTTACTAAATGAACTTTTAGCAACCAGATGTTTGATTGGCTATTCAAGATTACAATAGATTTGGGCACTCTGGAGCTAAAAAAAAAAAAAAAAAAAAAAACTGGGGAAAAGGCCACCTGGCCATTCTGGGACAATTGACATTTCTTTTTTTCAATTTCTATAAATGAGATCCTCTATGGGATTTACAAAAAAAATATAAGCCCCTAAAGACAGAAGCACACAAATAGAAGAAGCACAGAGTTTTTGCTCATAGAACAGGTACATGGAAAAGCCAGGTAGACACCCCACACTGTTCTGTATATAAATATGCCTTTCCATGCCTTAACTGGAAGTCTAAGCTTCCATGTTACTCTTACTTACAAGAATTGCATTCATAGCTGATGCAATGCCATAGTTGACACCTGCGAGACGCGCTGCATATGTATACTCTTTTAAATCATCCTTCAATAACCTTAGAAACAGGTATGTCATGTTGCAATGGAGGGGGTCAGCATAAAGGTAACGACTAACAAGAAGGAAAAAAAACACAACAGGGAAAAATAAAAATATAAAAACAGATGAGAGGAAATTAAGCTTGATACTGCAAGCAATGATATGATGTGGATGGAGGACCTTGACAAAAAGAGTATGGATATGCAGCATCAGGGTTTTGGTTGTCTCTGGGATCAGACTATCTGAATGGAGATCAGTCTCCATTACATTTTTACATGTAAAAGGCTTTGTTGAGGCTGAACAAATACTACTTCTATAAAAATATAGAGATGGGAAAGAACATATTGGGTTCAGCTCTTCCCTGAAGAGGCAGGCTGTGCAGGGAGGAGGCAGTCAAAAGGGTCCAGTATCAGCCTTGGATTTGGGTACTTACATACATCCCATAGACGGTATTTTGGAGGTCATAGTTCAGGCCGGCTAGCTCTGCTGCATATGCATACTCGTTGAGAGAATCTTTAAGCAGTTCAATGTACAAATAGGCCATGTTACAATGCAAAGGATCCACATAAGCAAATGGGCTGAAAGAGAACATTAAAATTAAGTCTGGCTTCATTCATTTCTTGTCCAATTTCCTTTTCATTTTTAAATTTTGCAAAATGCAACCTACAGAACTAATTCCATAAGGATATTACCACAAGCAGCCTTTATCCTACTCAAAGGCTTTTGGGGTACATGAAGATGGGCAAGGGGAGTGTTAGGTTTAAATTGCCACTGCCCCTCAAAACCTAAGCATACAGCCAGAGCTCTAGAACATCAACAGTCCAATAACGGAATTAGGGCAACCTAAAGAAGAGTATCAAAGAATAAAAGGACAAGTATTTTAAAACCTCTTTAATATATCCAGGTAAATAAAGCAAGTTTTATGTGACTTTTCAATGCCTGATGTCTCCTGAAAATTCTACTTCAGTTCAACTTCTGCAAATCTGCCTGATGCAGTTTGTAGACAATTTAAAATACGTACACACATTTAAAAGGCAATAAAATCCACAATGGCTCCCTGAAACAGTGGTGTGACAAATCTAGCTCATCAATACTTACTTGGAGAAACACAGAATGATACAAGTCATGTAAATGTCCAAAATGGAATATGAAATTGCCTTTCAATTGTAATTTCACATTTAAATTTTTATTGTACCCTGCCCAAACATATTCAGCAATACATAAATATATAGGGTTAGTATTTCAGGGCAAATCGTATTGCTGTGTCACTGTTGGGAAGACTTTCTTTATTTCCTGGAGACTCGATTCAGATGGGACGCAAAAGTTAGCAGAGACCTTCCAAGTGGAAAAAGACAACAAAACCTTACAAGCATTCTAACTATTGTAAACTTTGTTACGTGTTTATAATATTCAAGTCCAATTACAAGTTTATTTCAGTGATAGAATAAAGGTGATTAGTGCTGCACGTTAAAAACAAATCCTTATGGATTGGACGTCATTACAGGGGCCAATGGAGCCTTTAAGTAATAAGCCCAGATCTCTACTGGCAGTCGCAGGTGATGTTCTCATTGACACAGATGCAGACTGTCAGTAACCGGCAAGGAACCATATGAACAGTTGCAGACTCAGCCACAGAAGCACGTTTCAAGCCTCCATTTGAGATCTTGAAGAGTATCATTTTGCACTTCTGTGAAGAACTGTATATGTTGCACTTTATTTATATTGTGTTATTTAAAGTGGTTTTAAAGGTTCAGTTATTTTTTACCTTCAAGCAATCAATGCATGAAGTAAAAAAAAACTGTGTGCAGCATCCCCCTGAACCCCCCCAATACTCTAAGCCCCTTCTGGATCCAGCGATGTGCGCTGGAGTTTCGCTATCCCGGGACTCCTTCTCATCAGCTGAGACAGAAGCGGGAACCATTGGCTCCCACTTCTGTCAATCACAGCCAGTAAGCCAGTGAGAAGAGTAGGGGCGGGGCCAAGACACAGCTCCATGTTTGAAAGGACACACACAGCAGCGGGTGCCCCCATAGCAAGCTGCTTGATGTCGGGGCACCCCCGCCAGGAGGGGCAGGAGAGCCTGCAGGGGACCTGAAAAAAGGAGGATCCAGGCTGTTCTGTGCAAAACCACTTCACACAGCAGGTGTACAGGCATGTCTGTTTTTTCTTTAAAAAAAAAGGAAAAAAAAGCCTTTTAAAATCACAGGACTCATTTATTCTTATTTTTATTTATACGATACATTTAAGATATTTGGTTTGCACAGTTGTGAAGAATTATATACTTCATACATTATTTATTTTGAAAGTGCAGCACTGAACACTTACTTTGGTTTGAACATATAAACTTTAGTGCAGTCTTCCTCAAGTGGGGTATCTTGAGTTTTCTTTAGGGGTGCCTTGGCAAAATGTCTAAAAATTGCCAAAAATTTGTATACAAGCCAGCGGGTGAAAAAAGCTTGCCTTTTAGTTACACAAAGCCAGAGGTGTTCATTGTGCACCATTACGACCTTCTAGCCACCGGAGTCCTAACAACCAATGAGATCAGGTTCCCCGCACAGCTTGTTGGACCCTCCCTTTCACACTCTGTCAGTGCTTGGTCATATTAGCTGAGTGATAGAGAAAAACTGAGGGAGAAGAGAAACATAGCAATACTAGTCCGTACCACAGTGCAAAAATGTATTTGCTTTGGAAGAGTAAACCACCGCTAACATTTCATGTCCTACGTATGTGGGTGTTGTTACATTTAAAACTATTAGAATAGTTTTTTTACATTTTACAATGGGGTGCCTCGAGACTGTCCATAATTTTAGAGCGTGTCTCGCCTGAAAAAAGGTTGAGAAACACTGCATTAGTGCTAGCAGTGCATTTAATTGTGATGTGCAAACCTACTATACTTTTGTTCCAATGAGATTGTTTGAAAAGCAGTTTGGTGCAATTTCAAATTCATTTTTTCTCATCACAACCAAAGATGGTTGTGAAAGTACTTCCACGTGCAGAAGCTGCCATACCAATATTCATATTCTCTACATTTACACTATTGCCGCATTATTGAATGACAATATAAAAACCAAAAAAAAAAAAAATTCCAGCACCCCGTCAACACCTTCTCAAGCAACACCCCCAGAAAAATAACTTCTAGGTAACTTAAGGGCTTCAAGGAATCTATTGGAGACTTGGTAAATACTCTGGAAATACAACTGTACTTGCTGAATTTGACGCTCTTCATACTAGCAGTTTACAATGCCAGCAAGGTTTAGGACTTGAATGCCATAACATTTCCTTATTACACTTAAAAAAAAAATAAAATTGCACAATGCCAAATATCTAACTAAGCAGTAAAACAAATTCACGTTATTAAAGCTATATGCAGACTATAGCATAAAATCGTCAAACATAAGGCTTAAAACGATTCAGAGAAAAGAAAAATGTTAATTAAAAATAGATCAACCTTTATTAAACCTTGAATTGTGTGGATTATAGACCATAACAAACATAGTCCAGGGGAGTAAAAATGCACCATCAGCACTACGTGTTACTTAAGCCCAGCCATTATACATTATATAGCCTGCGTCAATCACCAACAGCACACACGTTTTAATCAACCTGTCAAATACTAGACACAGACAATACTATCACCCTGCAGACATCAACTATAATATAATGTAAGGAGCAATAAGTCAAACAGATGGAGAATTATATTTAAAAAGTGTATGTATGTATGTATGTATGTATGTATGTATGTATGTATGTATGTATGTATGTATGTATGTATGTATGTATATATATATATATATATATATATATATATATATATATATATATATATATATATGTATATCCTAGATTGTAAGCTCGAAAGAGCAGGGCCCTCAATCCCCTCATGTTTTGCATTGTGTTGTATTGGTATTGTTCTGTCCCCCTCTGTAATGTACAGCGCTGAGCGAACTATTGGCACTTTATAAATACTGTATAATTTTATATATATATATATATATATATATATATATATATATATATATATATATATATATACACATACATACACACACACACACACACATTTTTTTTTTTTTTTAAATATATTTATTTAATGAATATCTTGCCTACACTTTTCATTTCATAATTAAACCAGCAGCCCAACACTATTCACTCTGGCCAAAGCATCAAAAATAAACAGTTGCCGACTCTGTAATCTCATTTCCCTTACAAGGACATTATATTAACACTGGCTAAACAAGACCTACAAACCCAATGAAAGTCCAGAGTCTACAGTAGTAAACTAAGTAAAGGAAAACATCAATGAACAAACTGTTTTAGAACTAAAACAGACCAATCTAAAGTGAATTAAAAATACACACATTATTCCCTGACTGTAATTAGAATAATATTGTGAAATTGTCCTAAGAACATGTAATAGCAACATTCTGATCATATTAACCACTTGCCCTCCTGAGGATTTACCCCCCTTCCTGACCAGGCCATTTTTTGTGTTACAGCACTGCATTACTTTGACACTTGTCAACTGTTAACTGTGTGCTGTGTGTTTTACTGTGGGGCTGTGTGCTTCTGCTATAGGGTGGACGGAAGGAAGTTAAGGTTAATGTACTGGGATTCTTTTTAGTTTTTATACAAAAGGAACATCTTAAGAAGATATGACTTGTGTTTACAGCCATTCTTTTTTTCACCTTATCCTATATACCTTTAGGGAATTTTTTTTTTTTTTTAATTAAAATAACAAACTTATGATATTCACCATTGCACAGAGCAGTCCCGAATGTCCCCTTCTTGTCCCATGCTGGCATTCTCTGCTGCTCTTCTCTTTCTAGTGCCCTCGTATCATAGATTTGATTGGCAGCAGCAGCCAATGACTCCTGCTGCTGTCTCTGAGCTTGTAAGGAGAGAGGAGTGCAGCACTGGATCGAGATCGCGCTTAGATAAGTATTTGGGTGAGCTGGGGTGGAGCAGCTTTTAAAAGGTTTTTTTTAACTTAATGCAGAAATGCATTAAGGTAAACAATAAAAAACCCAAAAAACTTTATCCTATAGAACCACTTCTCCTACTGTTCTAGGTCAGTTGATTACCTGCAAGAGCTTGCAACACACAAATCTCTCTCTCTACTCCTCAGTTCGAACTCTCGGTCTCCTTATGCATCACTAACTTACTAAAAATGGACAAAGCAGGGTACAGAGATCCCTTAGATTTACAGTTTTATGGGGTAGTTATGGTTTCTTTTTTACCAACTGATTATATTAGCCTTAATATTTTTGGAACACTGCTGACCCAATGTGCGTCCTAGGCGGCGCTGTCATGGTTATTACAGTATTGTAAGCTTTTCTTGTTGTACCCCTTGCAGTACTTGCAAATATTACTGTGTGATATGTTTCTCTACACCAATGTGTTTTGGTAAATAAAGAATTGGAAAAAAACGGACATAACAGTATGGACATCACTCCACCTCTTCATGTTTTCAGAAATGGAGGTTATATTATCTTCTCCCACCCGGCTTTTCCATCAAAATCAAAAGCACAACTATTAATCCCTACACTCATACCAGGGTGCTAAGTGTTATCATGGACTCAGACCTCTCCTTTAGGTCCCTCATTAATCCGTCCTGGTCTTGTCACTATAACCTTTTTAACAATTGCAAAATGTTCTCTTGCTAAACACCACCACAAAGCTACTAATTCATCTAAAAAGTGCACTTCTACTTTCCCCACCTTTATCACCTTTTGTAGCATTTGCCCCCTTCCCCCTAGAGTTTCAGCTCATGAGCCAGACCCTTTTAATCTTCTTGTATTAAAATTGTATTGCAAGTCTACTGTCTCCCTTTACTTTGTAAAGTACTAGGCAAACTGCTGACTCTATAGATTTCCTGTATAATAATCATCATTGAGATTGGTCTATCCTTAAACAGGTTTTTAATTAACGTTTTAACATTCCTATTAAACATTAGACGCTATAAGAAAACCCTTTAATATGCTGACACAGATGATTTCCACTATCCTGCAGCGCTGGGATCAGAAGATGCTACTGACTGAAGCTTCACTACCTAGAGAGTCCCTGATGTACAATAAGAACAGCCAATAGTCTGTACATACATTCTCTGTCCTCATTCCAGGTCACCAACTCAAAGCAAGAAGAAAGAGGAAAGATTGAGCTCTTTGGGGAGCCAAAGAAGATCTGGTAGTGTCAGTTTCCTACTTTGGGGAAGCAATTTTCAGCGATTAACAAGCACTCAGTGGCATGGGTGGCCGAAGAGGGAAGTATTTTTTTCTCTTCTTTACAAGCATGTGCTTTGCTAGTATGGACCAATTGTGTATATACCATATCTGGCCAATGAACCTGAAAGTCACTGCTACTCTACGGATCTCTATTTACTTCTGGGTCCCTCACCCGAGTGACTGCCCTGCTGCATTCTGAATGAATGCAAAGTTTTCTCCAATTGGATATGGTGGAGCGGTGAGGCAGAGATGTCACAGTTTCCACCTTGTCGATTCAAAGATATCTTTGCATTCATTCAGACAAATGCAAAGCATACTTTGAATGGCGTCTATGCCGAGCAGCCAACCTCCTGTGTTCAAAATGCAGCAGAGCAGCCATAGAAGCAGTGGAAATCACTGGAGTAGCAGCGTTTGCAGTGATTTCCAGCTTTCAGGGGTATCAGCTAGGTATGGTATTCCAGGGGCATCAGCCAAGCTGGGGCAATGTAAAAACATTCTATGCTTGGTATCCATCTTTAATAATGTGACAGGTCTCTTTTAAATGTACATCAACCGAAATCAGTGGTATTATCGAATACAAAATAGCAAAATACAATAAACAAAGGGAAACTGTCAAAAGCAACATTTAATCCACAGAGCAAAAAGCTACAAAATGAAAGATTTCCAGCAAGAACTGCTTAACGGGTAATATATGAGCATTAGCGACTGCCGGAATTTAATTACAATCATAAATACAAGATAAACGGTCTATAGTAATGGTCAGCACAGATTATAAACATTTTACTGCAGATCAAGCAATAAAAAAAAAAATATAAAGATAAACTGCTTGGTGTCAGCACATTAGATGACTTTGCCGATTATAACCTGCCACATAAATATTTGTGATGATCATCCAGGCTTGGAAAATAGGTGCTGAAAATTAGTACACAAATGCTGACACAGTGTGTTTGCTCACAATGTAAATAACGTGTGTAATTGTGGCTGCATAAAAACTAATGATACAATTGCCGCTACATACCTGAAAAACTCAAAGTTGAGGCAGGCTTTAGGGAGGAAGAATTTATCGTCCTGCTTGAACCATAATTTGCTCATTGCAGTGTCCTACAAAACCAGAAATAAATATAAGGCACATAACTTTTCAATCCAAACCCCTGTGAGATGTTTAGCTTTCGAAAGGGCCTGGAAGGACAAGGGCCGCTATCTTGTTTTTATTGTGACTTGTACCCACATGAGGGAGATTTCAATCACTTCCTGTCCCAGTGACATCTTTCTGAAATGGGAGAAGTGTGGAGAAATCTCCCTACTGGGAAAAATGAAAAAAGACAGACATACAACACATCTCAACTCTTAAGTTTTTTATTTTGGCTTCTTCCTCAAGTCCCATGAAGTGGGGCAATTTTTACTAACATAGCAATATAATCAGTGAGGTTCCCTCTCCATCAATAAAGAAAGGCAGGAGCTGGGCTTGAAAGTAAAACTTTACCCATCTGATATTTTTGCTACGTCTCAATATAGTCTTCTAAAGAACTGCAGTCTACTTAAAAACCTAGAATACAGTTTCTGTTTAAGTCACTAAATGCATCCAGTTTCCCCTCTTTTCAATGCAATGGAATTAAAGTTTAATATGCTGCCCAGTAACGGACACCCATCAAAATAATGTGCCCAACATGTCCAATCATGCCAACTGACAGCACAGCTTACAAACAACAAAGCACAAAAACTGGCCTTGTATCATGGGAATAAGTGCATTCATCATGGCAGGGACTTTAAATAGCCATGACTGTGATATGGGCAAATGCTTGTACAGAGATACAAAAATTAAACGTAGACTTATGGATCATTTTAAAACCTTGTCCAAAGCCGTAACTCTTAGCAGGGCCCAGACTTAGTCTTGTTTTCTTCAGGGCTTTATTTATCCTAAAGGCACTTGTGGACCATTGTCTAAAGTGGCAAGGATACAGGTAGCAGAACCAAGCAAGTTCTTTCCACTCCGAGATATCTGTGTCCAAATAAATGTAGGGGAAAGAGGATGCAGGGGATCGTAAAAGGAGTCCGAGGCCACATTCCACATGCAGTTTTAGTACATTATTCTGATTCTTAGTATGCTGCAGGGTGCCCTGCTTGCTTTTTTGGGTGCTGTTTTTTACGTATTTATTTCAGGTACTTACGTTGTACGTATATGTTTTGGCTTATATAAAACAAAAAGCATCTTATCAAATGGCACAATTGCTAAAAAGATATACATGAAAAATGTACAGGTTTAAAAGTGGTACAATGTGAGGCCATAGGGCTCAAGGGTGTCTTTGGAATCATGTCACCTCCATATTTTAAGAGAACACAAATTCAAAACCGGTGATCGATTATTACAAAACACCAAAGATAAACTGCTACACAACTGCCCTCTATTCAGCCATATCGAATATACAGTTTCCTATCCTGTTCTACTCTGCGCTGCCCATAAATTCTTAGTTTGATCAAATGTTGTGAAAGAAGTCTAAAAAAAATCTCTTTACACAAACTGCTAGCAGCAGGATCGCTAAAAAAGATTGCATGTGTGAACCTATGGAATGGCTCTCTCTGTAGCTGAATACAGGGAGATGTCTCTGTTAAGAACACTGCCAAAATGCAATCACTATCAATGGGAGAAACATTTTGCTGCCTTAGCCACAAAAGTAAGCAATTCCATGGGGACAAACTGACAGTCTCTTAAGTAATTCTGCCACTGGCAATTTCAACAAATTGTCATCTGCAGGATAGGTGGTGGCCGGCTAACTTGTTTGCCATTCGCCTGCCAATGCAAATCCCTTACAATCGCAACATATTATTATGCTTTACTACAGAAGCTGGGACAACAATAAACTTCAAACAATACAAATAGTTTTCATATATAAATGCATCAATACAAAGCAACCATTTATTACTTGAATCCACCTACCTTGATGAGGGCTGGGAATGGGGTGGCATCCTTCTCCATAGGGAAGATCTCAAAATGTGTGGGAATAAATTCATTTTTCATAGGGAGGTGAAATTTTCCATTTATTTCTGCTTTTTGCCATTTCTAAAAAGGGAAAAAATAAGGATTAGTTAACAAGTCATAATTGCAAAAACACATCGGCTCTTTTTTGGACACAGATTGGACAATGAACAATAAAATGAACCTGGACTATTGTTTGCAACAACAAAGCAGCCTAGGGCCATTTTTTGCTTAGGCACTTTATAAATAAGGCCCCATGTGTTTCACAAGCTACAGTGGTGATGAACTGTGACTGAAGAAAAGTGGATGCGCCTCAGTGTCAAAATGCACTGTTTCTACTCCCAGTGCAAGCTACATAGACAAAAACCAAAACCTGGTTAGTTACTGCTACATGCAAACTACTTTATTTTGCTTGTGATATGTCTGTCAGACGCAGAAATGACAACTAATAATTGTTAATGATTACAGTAAATAAATTATTTTCATGTGTGGCAGCCTAGGGGACAGACAGGCAATGTACATGTGAAGGCCACCATTGACTGAAGACTGAGAACAGTCGTAGGAAGAAGAAAAAAAAAAAAAAAAAAAAACGAAGTTATCCTCCAATTGCAAGTTACATTTTCAATGCAGAGTTCATATAAAAATATGTGATACACCAGTCTTATTTTAGAACATGGCCAAGAAGCAACAATGTGCTACTAGTAGCCCATAGCAACCAATCAGAATTCAGATTAGAAAGTACTTGTCATTTACATCAATGTATCCAAACTTTATATACTGGCAAGCATACCTTTGAATTTCTTGACAGCCCCAGATCCTGGGAACATGCTATGTACAGCACCTAGACTTTCCATTTTATAAATTTAAATTCCAACAGACAGAGAGAACCCCTACAATTGCAGCAACAGGGCTCCTTACCTGGGTACCCAATTACAGAAAATTCGCCATCAGATTTAAAAAATGTAAGGGGAGTTACAGTGGACCTGAACTCAAAAGTAAAGGTTTGCTGTTCTACAGGGAACATCTAGGAGGTATAAATTGTGCTTACTCATTACCCAGAAAAATCTACCTTGTGTCTTGAATTCCTTCCTGTATATCTGCTGCGTGAGGTTACCTAACGTACTGCTGCCTCCCACTGCTAGTTTCAAGAGATTTGAGTTTGTGTTGCACGGCAGTGACCTCACAAAATCAATGTTCTTCTTACTGGAGGGGAACTGCAGTGCGAGATCTCCCCAATTCTGGTGGTGGTGGTGGAAGGGGTAATCTCTGACATAAGGAAGCACAGACTACTCTCCAAACAAAATGCCTTTCTGGAACAAGACAAGTTAGGTCAATCCTGGGGAAACTGTCATATGCAGGGAGCATATAAACAATAATATTGCTTTTCTCTCTGCTTGCCATTTTATGCACAGTTTAGGTCCTTTAAAGAGTAACTCCGCTTTTGAGAAAAAAAAAAAAAACCTTCCCCTCTGGGTGATTTATGTACATTGCAAGGATTTTAGCAACCTTTGTTGTAGATTCCTACCTTTTGTTATTTTGAAAAAAGATGCTCGTCTGTATCCATGTGGAAAGTGAATCTAATGGGAGTGGTTTCATAATTGTCATTCGGCTGCTGCACCTGCAGGACTCTAATGAGGAAAACTGAAGGGACTGCATCCCTTTTGACACGATTTCCTATAGGGAGTAACTCACCAAAAATGACAATTTTGGTTGCAGGGGATGCCTGAAATCTCACTTGTATCTAAGTTGCTGCAACTTTTCAGAAAATCAGTAAGCCAATCACACAAGCAGGAAATTATGTTTGGGGGGGGGGGTTGGATGCCATATTGCATTTTACATAAAATTACAGCACTGCAGACTGAAAAGGAAAGGTAATTTTTAATAACATCCAATTACAACATGACTTGTGTCATAATTGTATATACTATATTATTTTTAGTAATACTGTATTTTTTTTTCTCCCACGAAAGTGGAGTTACGCTCTAACTATATAGCATCTACCAAAAACTAGAATATCGTGTGTGTGTGTACACATACATACACACACAGTAGAAACCTACACAACCACCTAGCAGTTTGTTGATTTCTGACTTCAACACAAATCCAAACTAGTTTTTACTTTGCATCAGCTAATTTCCACAGCTTGCGTTTTTGTATGCAATTGAATTTTCTTACATCAATAACCTCTGCAGGGATGCCCTCCTCCTTGTACTGTGTACCGTACCACTCTTCCGTCTTGTCAGTCTGGCTTGCAAAAGACTTGGATACAACTGCCACCCTGCAGAGCACAACATTAGTAGAATTATAGGAGCATGAACTTGGTGTTGTACTATATGCAAAATGGTTCACTACGACAAACACCATCTCTTAATGGCTAGACTACAGATTTGTAACTGCTGAAAAGGATATGATGGAGGTCCATGGGGGAGGCAAAAACATGAAAAAAGGTGAACATATGAAAGATTAGGAACAAAGTATAGTAGAAACAAGTTAAATAGTTGTTTATTAAATGTAGTATGTATTATTCATTTGTTTTGTGTATCCACAGCACCTCTGGCGTATTTTCCTAAAACGGTTGCTCTATGTTACTGGAATACAAGCTGCCATAAAACCAACTTCTTCTAATGAGGCTCCTAAAACGCAGGCTTATGATTCAGAAAGGTCATATCATTAATTTTAACAAACACCGCAATTCACAGCGGCACTTTTATAGAAAAATAGTCATTAGCACAAAATGTCAAAACTTACAGAAACTAATAACTAAAGCTAATGTTAAAAAAAAAAAAAGACCAGCTCTTATTTGTAATTTTTCACCTCTGTCCGAAGGAGGAAAAAATTATATAAAATACCCAAATTTATTTATTAGATATTAGCAAATATGCCTTTTGACTTAGATGGTTTAAAAGATTAAAATAAAATCTCTCACCTAAAATGGATTCCAGTTGTTGCAATTACCCACTTGTATATTCAATGTGTTTCTCTACTCAACCTGAATATAAGCAGTACCACATCCCAATAATTAGGGATGCACCGAAATTTCAGCAGCCGACACATATCAGCGGAAAACAGCCCTATCAGCATTTTGCCGATATGAAAAATTTAGCCGATACAGGTGCCGATAATTGCAGCCCGAGGGGGGAATGACTATTTGGTTTGGGGGGACACTGTGTACTGCAGAAGGAGGCGGTGGGGGGCAATGGAGAAAGGCAGGAGGTGATAAGCAGTGTATACAGTGAGGGAGCAGTGTATACAGAGACAGGCTTCCTCACTTGCCAGTTTTTAAATGCAATTGCCAGCTTGTTATTTTTTTTCCTTTCTTCACTTTATAGCTCTGAGAAGTTGTCATTTGCCCCGCCGCTAAAGTAGACAAAGGGGCGAGGTCATCCAGTGATTTTACCCAGTGACCTCGCCCGTTTACTTTATAGCTCCGCTGTCATTCACCCAGCAGCTAAAGTGAAGAAATGTACATATACACGTATTGGGATTTCTTTTTTTTAGCAAAGACATGTCCCAGAATACATTTTGGCCTAAATGTATGACGAAATTTGAATTTATTTTACGGGACATGTTTAATAGCAAAAAGACCAAAATATTGTTTTTTTTCTCAAACTTGTCGGTCTTTTTTTGCTTATAGCGCAAAAAATAAGCGCACAGGCGATCAAATACCACCAAATGAAAGCTCAATTCATGGGAAAAAAGGAAGCAAATTTAATTTGGGTGCAGCGTTGCATGACCGCGCAATTGTCAGTTAAAGTAACGCAGCACCGTAACGCAAGAAATGGCCTGGTCATGAAGGGGTGTAAATCCTCAGGAGGGCAAGTGGTTAAAGAAAGTAAGCGTATAAATCAATGAAAATGAGTGAGCGCTTTAAAGGACGAGCAGCTGAAACACATAGGACAACCAAAAGAGTTCCTCACATAAATGTAAATAAAAGTGCAGCGCTAGAAAAAATAACAAAAAATCAAAAATCAACGCACATAAAGTCAATAAAAAATAAGTCACAAAAAAGGGGGGAGGGGGGGGGGGAGGGAGGGGAAAGGCCCTAGGCCAAAAAAAGTCTCAAAAAAGAAGGACGACTTCAAATGCCCATACACACTGATCAGAGGTGTATGCACTGTGGTAGAGATGGAGTTGAAGATGTAGTCAGGGAACAGAGGTAGATGTAATCCCCTGGATCAGTGAAAATCCCCAGATCAAGGAAGCACACGTTCCACAAGACAGCAAGGAAGCAGTCACAGCTCCACCAAAGAATACCACCACTCCTTCACTTCATATCAGCGGCAGTCTAGGAGGAGATACTCCTCATGAAAAGAAAAGCCCATGGTAAGATATAATAAAAAGCATTTAATGAAAAATAAAACAGGATGCATCCAGAGTAAGTATATGAAAATGCACACCGCTAGCAAATAAACATGAAAGCTAGCAGTGAAGGCGGAACAAGACTAACCGTCCTGTCAGATGTAGTGGCCGCCGGAGCTCCCCAATGCTCCGACGGCGTGGCGTCAAGGCGTAAAGTAGCTGTTGTCTCTCCTGTTAATTCCGGATTTGACTTCTGAGAGCTAACAAAAATGGCGCCTGGCTACTGCGCAGGTCTTTTTAAAGCCACGGCGTACACCGGTTCTTTCCTCTGAGGATGTGCTTGGCACGTAACGCGTAAGGAGGAACCTGCGCACGCCTTTGACGCCACGCCGTCGGAGCATTGGGGAGCTCCGGCGGCCACTACATCTGACAGGACGGTTAGTCTTGTTCCGCCTTCACTGCTAGCTTTCATGTTTATTTGCTAGCGGTGTGCATTTTCATATACTTACTCTGGATGCATCCTGTTTTTTATTTTATTAAATGCTTTTTATTATATCTTACCATGGGCTTTTCTTTTCATGAGGAGTATCTCCTCCTAGATGCCGCTGATATGAAGTGAAGGGAGTGGTGGTATTCTTTGGTGGAGCTGTGACTGCTTCCTTGCAACGTGTGCTTCCTTGATCTGGGGATCTTCACTGATCCAGGGGATTACATCTACCTCTGTTCCCTGACTACATCTTATTCTCTACCCAAGTGCATACACCTCAACAATGGGCATTTGAAGTGTCCGCTTTTTTGAGACTTTTTTTGGCCTAGGGCCTTTCCCTCCCTCCCCTCCCCCCCCCCCCCCCTTTTTTGTGACATTATGTGCGTTGAATTTTTTGTTATTTTTCTAGCGCTGCACTTTTATTTACAAAAGAAAGTAAGCCATTTACGAGCTGCGCAAACTGTTGGTGCTATATAAATCCTGCATAATAATTTATAATGAAAGCTTTGTCATGGGAGAATTTAAAATGCATCTATAGCAGTGGTCTCCAAACTGCAGCCTGGGAAATAGATGTGGCGCTTTGCTTGCATTTATTTGGCACTTGGGATACTATTCCTCCCCTTGACACCAACGATGGGACACCATTCCTCAAATCAGATACAAATCAATGGTGTACTATTCCTCCCACTGACACCAACAGGACACTATTTCTCCCCCTGATACCAACAATGGGGCACTTGGGGCACTTGTTTATTGCCTCTGACATTAAGTTTTTTCCACTCTGACTGGCCAGTCTGTTCCCCCTAAAGCACAGTAAAGTGGTTGTTTGCATAAAAAGTTCTGATCTACAATTTTTTTTACCTTTGGATAAGTGTGGGACAGTTCTCTGAGGTTTTTTTTTTTTTCTTTTTTTTTTGCTGAGTCTTGGAGGAATTTTCCTTTCAAAGGAGGTCCTTTCCCTTTCTATTACTGGTCTGTAAAGTTTTGAAAATACCTTCACCACCCTTCAGTCCTTGTGGAAATGGTCATCAGGATAAGGGGGATGATGTCACATTTCAAAATAAGAACTCCACAATAAGAAATAACCCCTCATCACTCTTTTAAAATAAAAAGTTTTGACTTTAGAGATACTTAACCTCCTTAGCGGTAATCCCGAGTGTAGCTCGGGGTAAAATTTCTATACCAAAAGAGGTAACCCCGAGCTACACTCGGGCTTACCATGCGTCGCTGCTCTGGGGGTCCCTGCAGCACTTACCATGTCCTTCGCTCCCGCGATGTGTCCCCTGCAGCGTCCCCGGTCATCTCCTCCGGCTGCTGCTGGCATCCGGCTTCTGTGTTCCGGTCCCTGTGATGTTGGGACGTACGGGCGCCGGAACCGGCGGGAAATTTGAAATTTTTAAAAAATGTCATTTTTGCTGTCATTGCTGTTTCAATGCATTTCACATATATTTTGTCCCTACTGCTTTGTCCTGCGCCCTGCCTGCATTTTGAATGTTCTTTCTGCCTGGAAACTTAGAAAAGTCCATGGCGTCCAAAAAGGGTCCCTGTACGTCAAAAGTGGTTTTAGAGCAGCGATAGTAAATCAGAACCACTTGCAGAATTGAGTGATAATGATTCGTGGGGAAATTCGTCAGACACTGAAAACGTTTTTGCGACTTTGCTCAGCGATGTGCGAATTTGCCTCTGTATTTAAAATTTCAGTGTTTTTGGTTTGATTATATTATTTAATTAAATTTATTATTATATTATTATTTTTTATGATTATTTATTAAATTATAATTTATGATTTCGTGTTTCAAATTTTATCATATCCGGAATGTTTAATAGACTCTTGTTCATACAGATTTCAGGGAGTTATTCCTAAAAATTACAGCCTACAATAAAAAACTACATATTTCCATGCAAAAAAATGGTACTGCTTTAAGCACAAAAAAAAAAAAAAAAAAAAAAAAAATCGGAAAGAATCATACTGCCAAGGAGGTTAAGTAAAACGTTTCTGGCCATTGGCATGAACAAAGCTGCATAGTGTGAACAATTTGTTTTTTTCAGGTGCATTCAGGCTTTACAATTTTTCTGTTTAAGTCAATGGAAAGTTAGTTATGAGAAGATTGTTGTTGAAGCTTGAAAAGAAAAAAAAAAAAAAAAAAAAAAAAAAAAAAAAAAAAAAGTCATTTTCAGGAGCTCTCTCTCTAACTACTCTAGGTCTGAGGCCAAAAATGCCTCATTCTTCTTTAAAAGTAGCTTATGCACCTTTTTAAGCATCAGGTGCTCAAACTCTTAAACAGGCACAATTTAAAAGCATGTAATTTTAGTTGTAGAGCATTTTGGAGCTTGGAGCTACAAGCTACCAAAACACTCAGTTGTGAATCAAGGCTAAAAGAAAAAAAATGTTATCAGGCTTTGTGCAAAGGATTACCTAATGCATACACTGCTGGCAATGACAGAACTGCTAGTTCCATGATTTTGTGGTCTAGTATGACAAGAATGAGTTT